TTGAATATATGAACTCATGAAAATCTGCACCTATAGAGTTCAGCCACTGAGCTATTAATCCGCATGTGTTTGTGTGTATGGAGGACATATCGTATTGCTACTGGATGAGACAGTGCCGTACAGGACAACAGAAGATAGGACAGGACTAGTCCCGCAAAGCAGGACCTCCATTATGTCGAGCTCATGGAGTACACGAGAGAATCTTGGTGGAAAATAAAGGTAATGAGATTTTTTTTCAGCCAGGAGAGACAGAAGTCATCCATCTCTGGAAATAGCACCTGTGAGTATAAACAAATTCTCCATTGAGTAGTTAAAATTTGTTCAAATTATAATGACAACCCACTGTGTCCTCATCTTTTTGTGTTTGAATTACTCCACACATTCATTACCTTAATGAGACAGAGGTCTGGCTGTGTGACGTTAAGTCAGAACTGGAGACAAACTACTTCCTGCCCAGCATCAGACTGCAGTTTCATCTGGTCTATCACATCTCTTACTCCCATACAAAGACCAAAGACATGGCGGCACACAATATTAATGCATGCACACGTGTACCCTGACCTGCAGGCATGCATGGGAAGCTCCAAGGTTGCCTCCAGCTATCATGCATGTGAAGGCACTGATATCTGGACAGGATCTTTGATGTCAAAATGATGAGAGCATTCTTAGAGCATATAAGAACACAAAGGCAGCGGTCCAGGGTCAGATCTACACAGGAGGATATCTGAGTCTTACAGTCCCCTCTGGTTTAACTTATTCATCAGATGCATGCACTAAGAATACAAATTGACATGAATAGTGATTCAAAAAAAGAATAGTGTTGTGAGCATGTGTGCTGCAGTACAATGCAGATTTCTGGATCAAAAGAAATATACATATGGCATACACATGGTAGTGTCTGCCACAAGTTATTCTGGCTCACTAGCATACAGGCAGCATCAGATCTCCCTTTTTCTTATATGTATGTGTGTACACACATATATATATATATATATATATATATATATATATATACAACAATCAGATCTCAACCCAGTTGAACACCTATGGGAGATTTTGACTGATGTGTTAGACAGTGCTCTCCACCACCACTGCCAGTGCAAAAAACCAAATGAGAGAATATCTTTTGGAAGAATGATGTTCATCCCACCAGTAGAGTCAAGAGACTTGAGTCAATGCCAAGAAGCACACTCTAATGTTATCATAAAGTCAATAGTTTAAAACTAGCTAGTAGTTATGGTAGTAACTCAGGAAGGAAGTATGTCTGTGAAGCAGGGGAGGGTTAAAGCATTTCATTAATGTTTTTCTTAGTGCAGACTTTCTCCTAATAGTTTCAGGGTTACAAGTTGCCATGGCTGGCGTCATTTTTTCAGAATCTATTAATTCAAAATTCACTGTTAGAAAAATAGTATAATATGAGCATCATGTGGCCTTGAAGAATAAGAAAACGCAAAAATAACAGTGATAATATCCAAAAGTAATTAGTGCTTTGGTAGGAAACATGGCATGCTGTGTGTGTGCATGTACTGTATGAAAGCAGGATAGCAGGCTGAGAAGAAGGAGAAATTGAGATGCTCAGGGAGAGGTCACGACAAAAACACACTGACTGGTCGACCGGCAGCACACCCTGCCTGTCAAAATAGAACTCCCTGCAGTTTTGCTCAGCGTGACATCATTAGTATGTGGAAGTGAAACCCCACTGATGTTCTTGAGTCTTGTGAGTGAAGGCTACTACTGCAGCTCAGCATGATGGGCTGAGCAGCGAGCTCATGATAGACATGAACACTTCCAGTATATGACACCATATACTATGTAGTTCCTATATGAGCTTTGCAGCGCAAACAAGCAGGAAGGCTTGTATGGGTCAAACAACAAAGACAGGAGTGAGAGAGCAGAAGGAGCTGGGGAGTGGGAGGAATGGAGGATGCAGGAAATGGAGTGAGAAACACAGGGCATTGCTAAAACAATAATGACTTCCACTAATTGTGTTTCCTATGGCCAATGTGAGTGTGGTGACATTTCAGTTCTGTGTTTGTCGGTCAAAGGATGAGCTAATTAATATGGTAATTTAGCCCCAACGCCTCCAGTGACAGCCACACCCCCTCGTTAGCAGCCACAAGGACAAGGGTTGGATGCTCCAGGAGCGAGAGAGGGAGACAGAGACAGGAGCAGAGAGAGAGCATTTTTTCCTGGCTTTGCCTTCTCAGCCGCCCCGGAGTCACACGCCTCTGTCTCTGTAACGGGAACAAGTGATTATTTCTGAAAAATGGGGAACTTTGTCAAAACGTGTCCCACCCACACATTATCTCTCTCCGTCTCTCTCTCTCTTTCTCTCTCGGTCTCTGCCTGGTTTCTCTCACACACTCATACACACAGACAAGCTCTCCCTCTCTCTTGCTCTCTCTCTCTCTTTCTCTCACACACACATACATACACACACACACACACGCACACAGACCTTCATGTTGAGCATGCGTGGGCACTCACATACATTGGTGGGTATATTAACACACACAGCTGTGCAAATATGCAAACACACTTAGAGGCATGTGCACACACACGCACGCACGCACACGCACACGCACACGCACACGCACACACACACACACACACACACACACACACACACACACGCCAAGGGCGACTCTGCCTGTGGAGATGCAAGTGGCATTCGCCATCTTCCTGCCAGCAGATCACATGACAGTGATGAAGGATAAGAGATTAAAAACTTCAACTAAGGTTTGTTTACATCTAAAAGACTTCACAACTTCACAAAGCGAGACATATGGCTTAGCTGCACCGCACCTGCTGCGGAATATATATATATATGGTGGAAGAAGTACTCTGATCATTAGTTAAAGTAGCGTACTACTACTACAAATTAAAGATATTGTATTACAAGTATCAGTCCTTTATCAAAAATCCTGCTTTGGTAAAAGTATTATAACCAAATGTGTTAATGCACAAGTAGAATTTTTTGAAATATTTTTTTGGGCATTTTTGCCTGCATTGTGATATTCCCAGTGAGAGAGAGACAGGAAAGTCAGGGAGAGAGAGAGGGGATGACCTCTGCAGTTAGAAATAGGCCTATGTCGTACGCACTGCTGCAGGTGAGCGCTGCACAAGTAGCATTTTACTGTTGTATCTGTTCAAGGTGGGATGAGTTTTATCTACTTAATTTACAATAAGGTAATTTAATCTAGTGGTTCCGAACCCGAGTCTGGCCCGCTCCAAAGGGTCATAATATAAATCTGAAAGGCTGTGAGATGATTAATAGGTGACAAATTGCAGAGGAAATGTGATCTTTTTTCTATTCTCTAATCTCTGTTTTTGTGAAATACTGGATAATTTTATCTGCTTGACTCTTGAGCAATTACATAAAAGTAGAAGTATAAAGTGGCATCAAATGGAAATACTGAGTAAAGTACTTAAGTACAGTACTTGAGTAAATGTTCTTGGTTACTTATCAACCCTGTAATACAGACACATATAACAAGTCATTGCTGTGGTTTGGAAAAAAAAAAAAATTTAATTAGCTTGTTCCACAACATTAGGCAAACAGTTGTCAGAGGGAGAGTGACTGCACATATTTTCTGAGATGACTGAGCTACCACTGTCCCCCGCCTGACTTCTTCTTTGTAAGCTTTAATACAGGGGAGCGGGAGCCTGAGTGCTGCCAAAAAACACTCAAGCGCTCGCTAATGCAAACAAAAGGAGACAGCCCAGCACTAGAAATTTGAGGAAGCGCATAAATGTTTGCATGTATACGTTCCAAACAAACCTAATTGTAATACGGCTTTGTCAATTTAGAAATGTTATCTAAATGTCACATGAGGGAAAAGTTTGTTTTGGAAACTCGTCAAACAATTGTAGTCCAAAATGAGTGTTTCATAGCCAGATAGTTTTCCACTGTGACTTTTTTTTTTTTTTTTTAAAAACACAGATGTGTTTATGTTTCTGATTCCTTCCATATTAGTTTCTCTCGTGTCCCTATCTCTCCTAAGTGTGGAGAGTTTTATTATTTTTGTGGTTGGAAAACTAACAATAACTCTTTTCTTAACATTCTCAGTGACTTGTAGCTTGTAAATTAACTTAAAGCGTCTATATTTTGATGTTAACAATGGATCATGTGACTACTTTTATGTGAAAGGGGTCACTCAGTGTTGAATTCAAAAAGAATTATTCTAAGACTCTGCAGTTCCCCCTCAGCTCTGTGGAGCTGTTTTAGCATCTTTCAGCTCATTTGTTTTGGTTTTACGGCCCAAAACTTTACTGTTGTGGTTCATTCTCACTGCACTCATCTCAAGTCTCACACCACAGCAGGCAGAGCTACAAGTAGTGTGAATATTGGACTTGACACACCAAATGAACACAAACACGACCCCATATGAATGATAATGTTGCTCTGTATCTACTGTATTAATAGGGAAGTTTGCTAGGAAGTTTTCCATATCATCTTAAACATGATAATATGTCAGTTTTGCTTTTACACCATGTTTCTCCAGCCCCAAAAAACACGACATGACATTCTTGTAAATAATGAGTCTTAGCTGTCTACACAAAGGAAAGCGAAATTTATCCTTTATTGAAATAAAGATTTGTGAACTTATACTTTTTATCTCGCAAGCTAACACACTTTTTTTTTGGAAATTGTCATTAGAGCACTGAGAGGAAACCAGAGTGTCGTAAAGCGGAAATGCTCCTAAGCTGAAGAATAAAGTCTAACAGATAAAAACAAGGACTGTGGTGTTAATGAGCAAACCCCTTCTTCTACCACCCACCACATTATTTCTCTTTACCTCCCCTCAGAACATACCCAATACACAATGACACACACACACACATACACAAACATTGCCTGGCTCATTAATTAAAAGCACAAACAATTTACAGAAGCCAGCTCCTCCAGCTTCCAGAGGTAAGGGCATTTTTTTCTCCATTTACGGAAGAATGTTTGGGAGAGCTGAGCCTTCTTGTTAATGTAAATAATTTACCTTTACCTTTATCCTGATGGAATCTTAATTGTGCCTCTCCGGCTCGCCTCGCAGCAATTCATCAATGTCCTCCTTGACCAGAAAAAGATGCTCTGCCTGTCGCTGGGAGAGGAAGAGAAAAGAGATCTAGCACTTTGAAACAAAGTAAGAGGGCATACAGACAATGGGAAGCACACACGCATGCAAAACAAACACACACACTGGTGTAGATTAATGACAACTCTCCACCAATTAAATGAGTGTTTGTTGTTTTCATCTGATGCTGCTGGTCATCCATTGTCTCTGGATATTGATCTATATTTCAATGGAGCAAATACAACAGAGAACAATAAGAGCATTACGGGCTGGGGCCATGTTAGTCCAAGAACATTTGGAGTGTTATTGGCGAATCCATTCATTCCAGCGCAAGGTATTCATTATACTGTGAGACTGATAAATGCAAAGATGAGCTGCATGCACATATGGGCCTGGAAGCCATTCAGAGGGCAAGATACTGACTGTGTGCGTGTGTGTGTGTGTGTGTGTGTGTGTCGGTTTATTTGAGTGTGTGCAAGGGGAGGGCCAGAGTGGTGGAGGAGAGGAGGTGTCGACTCTTTATTTTTCATTCTTGGCATATCATCCTTGGAGGGCCTCGGTGGTGCAGTAAAAAGCCATGCATCTCAGTCACGTGACTCACAGTGTAATTGCTAGCCTCTCAGCTCAAAATGAAAGCAGCATTCGGCCATTTCTCAACAGGGCTAAAAACGAGACCACAAAAACCCACCACTTCCCTTAGCGAGAAATGTCCCTGCACTCCCACAGCCTGCGCTCTTTACCAGAAGCAGCAGCAGCAGTAGCAGCTGACAAGGTAACAGTGGCTGTGTGTGTGTGTGTGTGTGTGCGAGTGCGTGTGTATATGTGTGTATGTACACAGGCAGGGCCTACGCTGGTCTCTGCTGATTTATCTGTGCTTAATTATGTTGCTCTGCAGAGTCACAAGCCAATTATTTGCCCTTTCAAAGCTTTAGAACATACTCAGGAGGAGAAGTACAATAGAGGCATATTTTTAGCTCAGCTAAAGCACAGAGATGTGCTGCTATCACAGGTACATTTTTGGCCTTTGTGAGAGCACAAGTGTACCTTTTTTATAAATATGACTCATTGGGCACAAAATGAGAACAGTCCTAGTGACAGAAATTAAAACCAAAAAAATGTGCAATTCTGCTCAAGAGAGGATCTAAACTACCAGCTTCCACTAATTACGCTTACAGCTTTGAATTTGAAAGTATAAAAGCACATGCTGCGATAAGGAAAGAAATATGAATAGAAGAGAGACAGACACATGAGAGAAATATTAGTGTGACAATAAACCAATGAGGTGAGAGATCAATTGTGTTTGTGCATGTGTATTTGAGAGGGAAGCAAGTGTGCGTCTGGGGGACAGATGACATAGTGTGTGTGTGTGTGTGTGTGTGTGTGTGTGTGTGTGCGTGTGTCCTGGTGATGAAGGGTCAGCTGAGGGTCACAGTGATCCAGTTACACTCACCTCTCCTCTCCATTGATCCCTCTGATTCCTCTGATACACTGCTGTTTCTATATTGACATCTAACCGTACAGACGAATGCTAGAAGGCACACGGACTTTCAGTGTCTGAGCTCTTTATTAAGCCATGCGAGAGACGCTAATGACCAGGATAGCTTCCAGCAAGCCTGCGTGCTGTTCTCCTCCACCAATGTTGACCTCTGTTCTGATCTCGGTGGTGTACAATCGCTCACGGCTATGATGTCATCAAGAGCTTGTCTGTCTTTCAGTCTTTTTTTAAATCTTTTTTATCAATACTCACCTTTGTCCGTCTCTAATTTGTCTTTTCTTCTCCTTTTCATTCCCACTATAGTTTCCATTTCGCTAACTGTCTCTTCCCCTCCTCCCTCCTTTCCTGTTTTTCCCCACCCTGCACACCTGCTCTGGGACCCAGCCCTGTGCCTCCGAGCCCGGGCAGGGTAGAGAACAGACGGCCCCTGTGTTTTCTAATAATCATCACATACCTCGCATGCCTGCTCTTCTTCTCTCTGTTCTTTCCCTTTTCCTCAGTGCCCCGCCCGCCAGTTTACCTCAGCCAAGCCTATAACTACCCCCCCCCCCAACTCCTCCTCGCTGCATCTGCCCTGCCATACATCAGCCCTCTGACAGCCTCACTCAGCTCCCACAATGCCTTGGTCTCATTCTTTTCACCTTCTGGAAACAACACATCTACTGTTGTTTCCTCTAGTGGTATGTATTTAAAGGAATAGCTAGTTTAACATTTTGGGCAAAAACTTTTCTTTGTCTTCTGTCTGAATACACCTTAAGGCTAAAACCAGCAGCAAGTTAGCCTAGCTTAGCATAAAGACCGGAAACAGGGGGAAACTGGCCTACCAACACCTCTTACGATCTTTGGTTAACAAATGATATCTTGTGTGTTTAATCCATACAAAAACCAAGTGTTCCTGGAGTCTATGCTGGTTGACTGGGAACCTGTGAACGACCTGGAAAGATTTCAGCAAGTCACTGCACCCAAGCAAGAAATAACCCACCAAATTAATTATTGAGTTTTAGATGTGCTGGAGGGTGAATTTTTTCTTACTTTTGTCAAGAGCCAGGCAAACTGTTTTATGAGGCGTCACAAACTGACGCAAAACACATGCATTTGACAGGGAAAATCTGAGGCTACATACACACTACTATGTTCTCAATTCAGATGAGAGTTTTTGCTCCGTATCTGAAGTAATCTCCGTCCATTCTAACAAACCTATAAATGCATATCTCATGACCGTTCACAAACACTGAACAGGACATAGATTGTCTACTTTGCAGTTGTTGCAGAAAATACTACGAACGAGGAACAGCAAAGGCAGTTGTAGCATTAAAATGCATAATTTAAGTGCACATCAGCTGCTAGCGAAGACAACAAGGTCAGTAACGCTTTTAATTTCGTTATCCATGCTGCATTCACCACTGGTAGCCATGACTGATAAGACCCAATCAGGAGGCAAACTCATGTCTGCGTCATTGTTTCTAAAGGTGTCAGTTTTTCCCCGTCCAGACTACAATGCAACTGCAGAGTTTTCAAACTAAAATGAAGCCAGGAGCATTTCCAAAAGTCTCTGTTTTTGAGGCTCAAAAACTCTGACAATGCTGAGCGAATATCCCAGGGCTTCATGAATTTGCTTCATAAATTTAAGGAGCAGAGGAAAAAGGAGATAGACTGAAAGTTGCTGTTGAGTTTTGCGATCAGTCAGAGGCTGAGCTGTACACAAACACTCCTACAGACATGTTTGTTGTGTCTGCTGCTAGCTAGCTTAAAACGAATCTTTGTACAGTTGGTACATCAGTTGTTTGAAGTGTTTTCAGTCAACTTAAAGCGAATGACATGAGGCAAAAATTTGTGTGAGTTTGTCTGAAGGCTACAGCCAGTTGCCAGTTAGCTTAGCTTAGCCTACCAGCACTTATAAAACTCAATGTGTAAAAAAAAAAATGTATGGTTGCAATTTTACAACAACCCGGGACATAATCCTCATAAAATCACAAACTGTCATTCTTCCATTCAAGTTTTCAGAACAGATGAAATAAATAAGATGCAACTTTTTAATAAGTGATCTATTGAGGTAATCTGATTTTGTTACCATTGGACAGAGCCAGGCAAACTGTCCGGTCTTTATGCTACGCTAACCTAACCATTGACTAAATGTAGCATTATATAAAATGGACAAAGACAAGGGTGATATTAACATCTTACTCTTGGCAAGAAAGCAACTTTTTTTCTTTCATCACCTCAACCCCCTCCCCTCTCCTGACCCAAGTCTTTGCACCTCTTAACCCTGACCCTCTTTTTCCTCTGCCCCCTCTCACTGTGCCTGTCTCTCTGTGCAGGTGTTCCCATTGCTGGTGTGTAAAAAGCAAAGAAGCAAGAGGAGGCTGCTTCATTCAGCTATTGAGCTAATGGTTCCTCATTCACCACCCACACTGCTTATTAGGCCTGCTCTAAATAACCGAGAAAAGAAACAGAGAAGCGGCAGTCGCTTCCCTCCCAGAAGCAATTCACAGATCCCACACTGTGCATTACTCCGATGGCTACATGAGCGAGGATATCAGCTCTTGGTGTCATTATTTGATCAAGTGGTTCTCAGTCATCCAGTGGTCTGTGTAGTTAGTACTTGAGGGAATGAACACCCCTGTGGGCCCCTCTAAGCGTCTATTGTGTCTGTGTAAAGAAACCCCCAATGGAACAGGGGGCCCCTGTTGTAGAAGAAATTGTTCATTTATTAATTCATGCTATCAGGTTGCCGGGTTTCATGTTTTACAAAAAGCGCCAGCAATGGGCAGATTAGTTATCAACACCAGCTGTCCAGACTTGACTGGCTAGACTCTCTCTATCCCCTCCTACCCTGCTTTACAGTTTCTGCTATACCATCCTATCTGTGTTCTTATCCGTTTTATCTTCCCTTTGCTATCCTTTCCTACCCTCCCCATCTCTTCCTCCTGTGTACTCTGTGGCATTAAGGTCTGGATCAGGCAGATGGACAGAGCCGTAGATCAATCAGAGAGATCAATACTTCCCAGACTGGCTGAAACAATCTGTACAGACTGACGGACATCTGACGACTGATCTGGGCCCGTATTCACAGAGCATTTTATCTTACCACGAAGAGTACTCCTAAATCGTACAAAAAGTTTCTTACTAAAAGTTTTCTTGGACATCCTATTCACAAAGCTGCCGAGATCAACTTTTACAAAAGGAAAAGCAAGAACTCCGTTGCTATGGCTGATGTCATTTCTCATGGACGAACTTGCTTATAATAACCACAGTTATTGGGGAATGAGAGCCCGGTCTGTGACGGTTAAATGCACAGCAATAAATTAAAAACAGTTAGAAATAAACAAACATAGGCCTATTGTATACAAAGTCAATAATAACGGATTAAATGCTGTCTATAAAAGTAGTGCATTTTCCAAAATCTGTATGATGACATTTGTGTAGACCCATGAGAATTAGAGAGTACATTTATTGTTTGGTCACACCTCGCCCTACCCCTCCTGTAGCCGTTCGCGCGATGCTACCATCAAATTTTTTGCGTAGAAATATC